CCCCAAAACCCCAAAACCCCAAAACCCCAAAACCCCACTAAGCTCCCAAACTGTTATTTATAATTAACAAATAAAGATGGATAATAGTTATTGTGAGTAGGGTTTAGACTGGATTTGTACTGCTGGGGTTCTTGGGCGGGCTGGAGAGGGGAGGAGGGAGGTACACTATCTCCTTCAAAATCTCTTCTGGTCTTCCTCTTCCTAAACCAGCTTGGCTAAGCTTCCTTAGAGGACCGGAGAGATTTTATTCTAGGACTTTTACAGTTGGAAATTTTTAGGATTTAAGAATACGAAGAAGAATTTTGACTGAGTTTTGGCAAATTTGTACTTGAAGCGTGGAGAATAGAAATGAGGCAGATTTTTGTGAGAGGGTGGATTTAGATTTTAAGAACTTTAGGGCTGCAGGATGGCCTGTAGGGTTAGAAAATGAGTCTAGCCTAACCTTGTTTAGTGATAAGTACAGATAAAAGTGTCTCGACGAACAGTGAGTTTGAAGAAAGAGAATTCCAGAAATGGAATAGAGAGAAAGGGTAAGTTGGTGCCTATGATAGAGTTTTATATAATAATCGAATAGGTTAAATAATGTGCCGTTGACCATTGCTTCAAAAAGAGCAACGATAGGAGGTATAGGAGGTTGAGGAGGGATTGAAAAGCCACAAACTTCTCAAAAATGGCTGTCACAGTCAGGCTTACCTCAACTAGCCTCAAAATCTACACCTGAGTACAAGTCTATAAGGCAGCAGTATGAGGAGAAACAGCAAAATGCCAAATAAAATGAAAGAAGTTTTTTCCTTGGACCAACTATTTGGGGTAAGCCACAAATAATATCTATAGATCCAGCCAATGGCATTTAAAGGGAGTAAAAAGGCATTGAAAGAGATTGCACAAGAATTCAAAGTAAAGATGGCAAGTTTAGAAGGAAAATAACAATGAGATAAGAGATTTGGTAAGCTTATTAGATTTTAAAAATTCCAAAAAATTGAGTTAGATCAAGATTTAGAAGGCTTTAGAGGTGTTTTAAGTTGATAGAAATGAACTTTAAACCTAAGTGACAACTTTGTATAGGAGAATGTTTTGAAGAGGATGGATGAGAAATTAGGTACTTTTGACCATGATCGTATAGAGAGTTATAATTGCCCTGAAGAGCTAATAAGAAGAAAAGATAAGCTTGAGAAGAATATTGAAGATATAAAATATAAGCTTAATGAGGAGCTTAACCAAATTGAAATAAATCAGCACCTCTTCGATCGCACAAATCAAAGCCTAATTATAACTCGAGATCGTTTCAATAAAGCTGAACTAATGTCTATCAAGCTTGAAGCTAAGAACAAATAAATGGCAAAGGATTCAATATGCTGCTAGTAAATCTCAATCTTTATTTTTAGAATTGCAAAAATAAGGAGGCTCTTGACAAAATGAATGAAATGCGAGAGAAATTTTTACAAAATAAAGCAAACAACCAACTCACCATAAAGAACAAGATTCATACTTATGAATCACTGGAAGCACAAATTGATGAAATTGATGAAGAGGAAGGTCAAAAATTTTACCAAAGATTAGCAGAGAAATCCTTACAGAAGAAGCAAAGACAAGCAGACAAACTACCGATAGGCCAAGCTCCTCTTGAATCTGATCCGAAGTTGCTAGATCAGGTAATTTCCCTATCCGAATAGTATCAACCCATTATTTTTAGCCTGATCAAGAAAAACAAGAGTATATACAGAAGGTCGACTTAGAGCTTCAAAAGAGAGAAAAACTTGAAAAGCACATTATTCACATGACTCAGATGAAAAACGAGATGATGGAAGTCAAAAGGGACAAAATTGTAGGTCCAAATTCTCTCTCACAATAGCTCAACAGTATATAGGAGCAGTTGAGGGCCAATAGGCAGAGTCTTTTCCCCAAGAAAAATATCACAAGGAGATCAATCCAGGTTTTACAGTCGAAAATAGAGCTCAAATAATGAGAAACAAGACTTTATTAAGCACAGATATAAACAGCTGGTCCTTATATTTGAGTCCTTCAGAAAATACTTGAGTACTCACTTTAGCAAAATCTCGAACCTCTTGGCTCTGGATCTTCAGAAAGATAGTCTGAATAGCCAGAAGGCATTGTTTCCAAGCACTACTATGGAGCAGATATCTAACGACCTGTAAGTCAGAGGCTTTCTAAGTTAGACTTTTCTCTGTTAATATTCAGGATCGAGGATAGGACTTGATAAGACAATTAATTAACGAATATATAGAATGCAGATGAATAAGTTCGGCAATTTTTGAAATTCTAACTTCCCAAAATACCTTCTACTTGTTGAGTTCCAGCTCTCCCGACTCATTGATAGAGTTGGGATAGTTTCAGAAACACCAAAGGAAGAACTGACGCGGTATTGGTAAGATCTTTTTATACCCTTGACTAATAAGTTTAGAAAAGATTTTAACTCAAATTCTAAAGTTGAGGTGCACACCATCACTAAACCTGGGTGACAAGAAGTCAGACTAGATTCACACTACACCAAGGATATGAATAAGTATAAATACAATTTGATTAGTCCTAAAGGTATGCTATTAAGAAATTTTCAAGTTTTTCCTAGAGTTTACTCTTCAAAATTCTTTCTCATACAAGAAGACCTATTCAGTTACATTCTAGACAAAATTTCTTACCCATTATCCCGCCTATCTACTGCTAAACTCTTGTAAAGACATTCGTGCAGATCAGATGAAAGAGTATTACTCCAAATGAATCGACCATAAGAAGAATGGGAATGATCATTTCCATCCTCCAGAGATAAAGAAGTCAATAACGCTCAGGAATCCTAAATAGGGACAGAAGAGCAACTATGGATAATCAGGTAGGAGCCATTGTAAATGTGGATTTAGATAAAGAATTTATTTTTCAAATAAGATTACAAGGATTGCTCAGAATGATAAAAATGATTTTGAAGAGTCAAGGAGTAATTTTTAGGGGTGATGAAGGTATAGAGCAGCAGAAAATGGAGACAGAAGTGCAGCAAGATTTCGAAAATCAAGAAAAAGAGCAGAATGAAGCCGATTTTAAGTTTGAGAATTTGGATGACTGGCAACTAGGAAATCATAAATTTTTGAAGAAATCTGAAGATAAGTTAAGACAGCTTGATTTGAAACTGAATTATCAATCTGAATCTACACTAAGATGGAGTAAGAATTCTGAAAATTTCTATTGTAGCAGTTATAACGAATTTTAGACAAGAACAAAAACTACATCGTAAAAGCTTACAGAATGAGTTGAGTGCATAAAGTTGACAGATCCACACCTAGAAAGAAGAGCAAGGGAGGAGGAGCAAAGAAGATTACAAGAAGCCAGTCCAAATCAAGAAACATTTCCAATACAATGTACAAAATAATGAGTGAACCCAAGATTGTTCAGTTCAAGGCTATGAATCTCAATAAGACAAGAGTATTCTTTAATAATTTTACCTGTAGAACTCCAAAGGAATGATGAAGACTATGAATACAGTGAAATATGCATGCACTTCGACTGTCTCTAAGAAGCATAGCTTGCCTGAGCTCCTACTGGATTCGGAATATAAACTTCAGTCCATCAAGACGAGGCTTAGAAATATGAGACCTAAGACAAACATGAACAAAACTAGAAGCAAGATATTTTTGGGTGCTTTGCAGAACAATTCAAATTATCCACCTAAAAAGGTAATTTTAGCCTTCACAACACTAAACTTTATTGATGAGAAGCTAACATGATTATTTAGAAGAAAGGGGCCAAGTTCAGACTCCAGAGCTCCCATAGTAAGAAAGCTTTCAACAGGAACAGAAGCTGTGAAAATATTGTTAAACCAACCTTTGCATTCAAGCAGAAAGTCAAAGAGATGACTAAGAGAAGAAAAGAGTTTGATCAGATAATTAATACAAAATGAGAATTTTTTGAAAGCTAATAAATTTATTCAATAAGAACATAGAAAAAGGGGTTTTGGGGTTTTGGGGTTTTGGGG